CTGTCCGCCGGCGTCCTCGGTGACTGCTGGACGGGTACCTAGCGGGAGGTGGGTAGAGCGACCGCGCCCGCCATCCACTCCCACGGCAGCCAGGCGCTCTCTCCTGATTCCTTTTTCCTCGTCAAGTCCTGTCTAGCTGGGGATGCCGTCTGGGGTTGTGCGAGCGGGGAGTTCCCATGACTTACCCAGTCGTGCCTCTTCTTAGGCTCAGCTCTTGCTTGACAGTCCCTTGCCTAACCCTTAAAAAAAATTTCTTGCCAGGGGTGTGGCGGGTGTATCGTGCACGTTTGGCCCATTTTGTCTAGATATCACCAGTCACTGCTTTTCCTAAAAGAAACAAGTGGTAGTAACACAAATCTCTTTAATGATGCTTAAAGGGGCTTACAGATTTCTTGACATGCGGGTCTCCTGTTTTCACTTTGGCTGTAGGGACCTCTGATAGAGATGTCTGCCATTGTATCTTATTTCCATTGTTATTTTAAGAATAAAATGTAAAAGTGTTCTCAATCTTTCAGGGTTTTATGGTGTAGTTTCTGCCCTTTAGCCAATAGGACCTGTCAAACATAACCACCCATTGATGTGCTGCTTTTGTCCGACTGTAAGACCTCCTCCGTCTCTCTCTGTAGTAATAGTTGGTTTGAAAGCACTGTTTTTAAGATGGTAATATGCTTAGACCAGCAGTTTCTGGGAAGGGTGGTTTTCATCACAGAGGGAGAAAACTATTAAAATACCTTCTTCCCCCATTTCATTCTGATTTTAGGAGAAAGAAAACTGAGATTAGTAACGATAATATTTTAAAGGGGGGAGCCTATTGAGTGCTCACAGAGAAAATGACAGTATTAATATCATAAATGTTGGTTATCTGCCTTGCCGAACAATACATATGGTACTTTTGGGACTTCTGTCCTTAGGATTTGTTATCATTGGGGATTTCAGTTAATTGCTCATAAAATGGTTGTTAGTCCTTTAACAGCTAAAGTGTCCTGAGCATTTTAGTGTAAGTCTTCATAGCATCTAATCCACAAGGAGGAAAAATGCCTCTTTTAATACGCAGAAATACAAAACTCACATCACACAACCTTTTCTGATGGAGCAAGGTCATCATTATGTACTTTAACTTCTGAACTGAATTGTACTGTGCCGATGACTGTGTAAGGGTGTTGGCAGTTTCCTCTTATATTAAAATGACTTTTCACCACTGTACCATTGTAATGATTCATCCGGCCTTTTCTTTCTAGTGCTTTTCTCTGTCAAAAGATGCCTATTTCTCAGCCGAAGTAGGCAAGGAAACCAGTTAAACCTGAATCCGTGTCAAGTCAGGATAAATGAAGTCTGATCAAGGCTTAGTGGCACCCTCAGACCTTCAAGAATCTCACAGTGTAATTTCTTTTTTTGTACCTGTTATTTCCACCATTATTTGTAAAGGACGTTTTAAAATGACTAATTCTTACACTTAAACAGAAGTGGAATGAAAGACAGGTAAAGTATAGGTGCTGTTTATTGCTAGTATGTTTACAGCTAAGTGAATACCATTTTTACAGTCTGTAGGATATGATACAAACTTGTTCTTTAGCAGAAATTACCACATTCTGTAAACTTTCAAGACCTGTGTCTCTCTTTGTGTGAGGGATTAAGCAGAATTTCATTCTGTTGTGCAGCCAGGCAAACTCATGGTTACTCCTACAGCAGTCTTAAATGATGGGAATACAGATGTAAACTACATACCTAGTTTAAGCCTTCTGTTTTGTTTTGAGACAGGGTCTCTCTATGTAGTACTGGGTGTCCTGGATCTATGGTGGTGCAAAATTTTAATCCCAGCCCTCAGGAGGGAGGGGCAGGCAGATCTATTGTTTTGAGGCCAGCCTGGCCTACAGAGTGAATTCCAGGATAGCCAGGGAGGGCTACACAGAGAAACCCTGTCTCAGAAAAACAAAAAATAAATAAATAAAACAACTTTAGCATAAGCACTTGACCTTAGCAATGTTGGATTCTGCATAACTTTTTTTCTTGGGTCTTCTAGAGTTTGAAATAGCTGAAGTTGCTTTTAACAAAATTGGGTGTGGTGGTACAAGCCAGTAATCCCAGCACCAGGGAAGTGGAGGCAAGAGGGTCAGGAGTTCAAGGCCTTTCTCAGCTACAAAGTGAGATCAAGGCTAGTCTGGGCAATTTGAGACCCTTTTTTTGTTGTTGTTGTTTGTTTGTTTGTTTGTTTAAAAAAAAAGGAAGGAAAGAAAGAAAAGCAAGCCAGGCATGACTGTGAGCAGGAATGGCTTATCGTATTGGGCTCCAGGTCCTGATTTGATGCTCTTTTGCCTGGACAGTTGTCTGCGTTTATTCACAGCTCCAAAGCTGTATTGGAGGTGATGCCACACCCGTTATTTTTGGTTTTGTTATTTCCTGTTAACTTGAGAGTCTACTTAATTGTTTTGTGAGAGCAAATCTTGAAGAAGAGTGGGTGGGTGGGCGTGATTGTATTTTAAGTGTCCTTTGAATGCAGCTTTCTGTGGTGGAAAACCTGCTTTATTCTTGCTTCTGGGCCTTGTTTGGGGAGTTGCCTTTTGTGTGTGTGTACTAGTGGGTTGTTGGTTTTTTTTTTTGTTGTTGTTGTTAGTATCAGAAATAATGGGTTTCATTTTAATATTTTTATCCTTTGGTTATGAGCCTTAGCCATTAGCAAAAGAGCCGTTTCGCCAGACCAGCCTGTCATCATAACTTTATTTATCTGTTTATTGAGATAGGTTCTCACTGTGTAGCCATGGCTGGAGCTCACTGTGAGGACCAGGCTGGCTTCTGCCTTCCAGGGCTTCAATCAAAGATGTTGATGTCACCCCCAGCTTTTTATTGACACTTGTTTCTGATTAATAACCTCATTTGTAGTGATTTTCTTGTCTAGCCTACATCATATAAATGACAAAGTGATTGTGAAAATGTAAGATAATACTAAGAAACATGAAAGAAATTTCATTAATCATTCCCCCTGCCCCATGATCTTGCTATGTAGCCCTGGCTAGCCTTCAAATTGTTGAAGCCTTCCTGCCTCACCCTCCTAAGTGCTGTGATTACAGGTGTGAGCCATTGTTCCCAACTTCATATTGGATCTCTAGCTACTTGAGTGGTTAGTAGAGAATTCATTAGCAGTTGAAAACCTCCAGGGTTAGGAAGCAGATGAAATTGCAACAGGATTAAAAAACAAACTGAAACAACCTCATCCTACTCTGGAAACACCTGTTTCAAATGCAGAGGTTTTGTGAGTGGAATCCTGTCCATAATGATGAAGAGGTGAACTTCAGTCCAGCATTTGTTTGGTAGCTGCTTTCTCCTTCAGCTTCTTTTATGTTTAAAACCTCTTAGGATTTCACTAACTCCTCAAGTATTGTTAAGTGCTATCTACGGTGTACCCTAACTGTGTTCACTTGTTTCTCTGCTTTGAAAGCCATGTTTCTATGAACCTCTAAAGCTGAGGCTCTGTACTGGGGTCTTGTTGCTAGTATCTGGGGCAGAAAACTAGGAATTCAAATAACCCAGTTATTATTTCCATTTGACCCCCCCAATTTTCAAGTTTTTTGTTTTTGTGGGTGCCCCCCACCCACAGGGTTTCTCTGTGTAGCTTTGTAGACTTGAACTCACAGAGATCCCCAAGCCTTTGCCTCCTGAGTGCTAGGATTAAAGGTGTGTGCCACCTCTGCCTGGTTTAAATTTCTTTTTTTGTTTGGAGGTGTTTCCCCCCCCCTTGGTGTCTTCCTTTTTTATGTCATGAGGGATTTTTTTTTTCTTTTTAAATGTAGTCTGAACGCTGCTAATCATGAAACTTGGAAGGCAGAAAGAGAAGAAAACAAAAACTTATGCCCCAAACAGCTGCTTTTAATACACTTCCTGCATTTCCATCTCCTGGGAATTTTGAATTAAAAAGAAAACAAAGCTGGGCAGTGGTGGTGCACACCTTTATCCTCAGCACTTGGGAGGCAGAGGCAGGTGGATCTCTGTGAGGCCAGTCTGGTCTACAGAGTGAGTTCCAGGACAGGCTACAAGCTACTGTCTCAAAATAAATAAATAAGAAAAGAAAAAGAAAACAAGTCACAGGTATTAAAGCGTTCATTAGACAAATTGTTTATGTTTTAACATAAACATTGTAGTTTTAACATAAGTGCTCCCATGACAGATGCAGCTGACATGAGCATGGTGTGAAAGTCTTTTTGCTCCTATATTGGCACCTTAAGTTTTTAGTGGGGATAGCACAATACCAGTCCTGAAAAAATCTTCATATATGAATTTTCATTGTAAGTAAGACTTATGGTATGTACTTGTGCTAGCCAGCAGGGTTTGGTTTGTGCTTGATTTGCAGTTGTAGTCAGTAACTACGAACTTTAAGACACTTGAAGTTGTTTCTATTGAGATTCATACATCTGAATAGAACTCAAGACTATGAAAAGATGTTCTAAATACTTAATTCTTCCTTGAGAGGGGATAAGCTGCTCTCTTTAGCTTATGTTATTGGCTGTGACCAAAGCTTTATATTAGACATCTGTTGGTACAAATGTTTCTACAAAGCAACATTATCACTTGTTTGTTTGCAGTTCTGGGGATGGAGCCTTGAGTTGTGTGCATGCTGGACAGTGCTGTGGCACTGAGCTACATGCTCAGTCTAATAACTTACAATCACATTTTACTATAAAGTCTCTAAGTTGCCAGATGAGTTAAGAGGGAAATACTAAGGACTCAAAGTAACAAATACTTAAAGCCCTTCCTTAGGCCATATTAAGTAGGAATAGAGTACTTTTCCTTAAGGTAACATTTAAGTTGTACATCTGTAAGAATTATTCAGCTAATTGTGTCATTTGTAGTCATTTTGGAGTGTCTTATTTGGAGCTACTTAATAGCCAAATGACTAGTGGAAATGAAAGCATGTCTCACAGTCTACAACCATTTGTAAAATGTAACAGTTTTCAAGTTTTAATGCATGGAGAAACATCTGCACTTAACCAAAGAGCAAAGAAAAGGCAGGTAAATCAGAAGTGCCCGAGATGGAAATGAAGTAAGGATCAGGGTACCAGGGCAGCTGACTGATTCTATTAAGAAGCCAAAGAGGTGGCCTAGCAGTTAAGAGCACTTGTTGCTCTTACAAGGATCCAGGCTTGGTTCCCAGCACCCACGTGTGTGTGTGTGTGTGTGTGTGGGGGGGGGGGGGCTCACAACCATCTGTAACTCCAGTTTCAGGGCATCTGCTTCTGATCTCTGTGGGTATCAGGCATGCATGTGGTACACATACATGTACACAGGCAAAGCAATCATACACAAAAAGTAAAATTTTAAAAAATTAAAAAAGAGGATAGCAAGATTATTTTGATGTATTAAAAAAGGCTTATCAACCTAATCTATAATAATAAAAATGCTAAACTATCACATAAATAAATGATGTGCAGTGGTAATTTTTTTGTTTTATTAGAGAGGCAGAAGTGAGAGGGAAAGGTTGAGGGATAGATACTAAAACTGTTTATGAGTAGAGGAGAAAGGGTTTTCTAAGCTACTTCCTGTCCTGTTACCATACCACTTACCCTGTTAGTAATTGGCTCAAGTGACAAACTAACAGTCATTCCAGCTCTTCTCCTTTTTACTGCAGAGCCAGCCCCACCAGATGAGATGAGCTGGACTTCTGGCTTCTGAATAACCTGCTTCATCCGTCTCCCATCTTCTAATCCATTGAGTGCCCCTTTGCTCCAACTGTTTATTCTCCTGCTGCCCCTAGGACCTGTGACTGATGTAAAGGACTCTTCTCAGGCGTGGACTCTTTCATGGGCACTTCCTGCTTGGAGGATGGTGGTGAACAGTACCGCCCTGCGTGCTAAACCTCACTAACCTCTCTCTCCACTTCCTCTCCAACATCTCACATCTCCAACCTATTAACCACTGCTTGTAGGTCCCTGGGTGTTTTACATCTTTGACGGGGTATTACTTCCATGTAGATTTGTCCAACAACCTATCTCATCTGTCTTTCAAGACTGAACTGAGAGGACTTCTGGTAATTTTTTTTTTTCTCTACTAGATGGCTGTAAAGAATAATGGTTGGGCGGTGGTGATGCACACCTTTAATCCCAGCACTCTGGAGGTAAAGGCAGGAAGATCTCTCTGATTTTGAGACTAGTCTGGTCTACAGAACTAGTCCAGGACAGCCAAGGCTACACAGGGAAACCCTGTCTCAAAAAATAAAAACAAAACAAAACAAAACAAAAAATATGGTTTTAGATCATGGCTTCAAAGTCAGATTTACCTGGATTCAAATTCTTCCTTTGAGGACGTGGCTGCATGGCTATGAACAAACCCGTTGGGCAGTTTGCTTGTCTAGCAGAGTGATAATGAAGAACTTACAGGGTAACTGGAAAGA